AGTTTTAGAAATGGTCTGTATTTCACTGAAGAAAAATGTAGGGAGTTCTCTAACCCCCACCTAAGATTTCATGATGCCATTTTTTAACATGGCGACTTATTGCATTCAGGTGTTGGGTAGGCTTATGACGAGTTCGAATTTTTAAGTCAATATTTTGATGCTTTTTGAAAGGGTCTAAAACTCAATATAAATGTCCTTAGCCTAAATTAAGACGTGCTTGAGAAATTGCAAGATATAATATATTTAGGTTAAGGTATTTGCTAATATCATGAATCTAACATGTTATCAAACCTAATATATTTGAGTTTAATCATGTGTCGAGTCCAAATTAATATGAATATAACAAGTTATCATATCTAATATACTAGAATTTAATTATATGTTGAGTCCAAATTAATATGGGTATGACAAATTACTAGACCTAATATACTTTGATCAAGTTATGTGCTGAACTTAGAATATTGTGGGTCAAACATATTGTCGGTCCCAACATACTTAGGATTGATCAAGTGCTAAACCCAAGTCAATGTAGGTTTATTAAGTTACTAGATTTAATATGCTTGGGTTTAACGATGTGCTTAACTTCCAAACCTATCTTCGTTACGCTTATCTCACATTAATACTATCATAATCAAATGAATTCCAATCTCTTTATTTTATCAAAACAATAAGTTCATGAATTATAAATACTTTTGAACCATCCAGGTAAAAGTTTCGTTTTCTCTACCCTCCAAGCATTCATACCTTAACCCGTATAATATTTATAATATGAAAATAAAAACAAATACTTGTGTTATTGGAATTAAAAATTCTTTCCTTTATTTATTATAGTTATTTAGAGTTATTGATTTTATCATTGAAGGGTCTTTAAATCTAATTAAAAAAAATTGTTTTGTATAAATCTGATCGATAGAGACTGTTTTGTAGGTATCAAGACTTTCACCATTAATTATGTACTTTCTAGACCATGGAGAAGGGAATATTAAGATGAAAATCTGATTAACAAAAATCCAAACATCAAAAATAACCTAGCTCCCATACTATTTGGATTTTTGAAACATCATCATCTTAGTAAAGTTAGAGGTTTATGTTGTTGATGACTGAACAGGCTGACAATTTGTAATCTAAATAGAAGTTCTTACAAGAGGATTAGCTGAGGTATGCTGCCTGACTTTCCTTCTTATATTAACTTCTTTAAGTTTAGCCTCATCGTTCTGACAACTTTTCGTTGATCATTCTGTACCCTTCCTACTTACAAAAGCTCATATGACTATCTTGTTGCTATAACTTATGAGAAATTTAAGGTGCTCAGATTAACTAAAGATATCCTATTAGTTACGAGCACCATAAAATTCTCCATGACTTTGTTTCAATTGCTTCAGGTCACTAACAAAATAAGATATGCTACAGAAAATTATAATCTTCATCCGCTCTTCCTGAATTTCACAAAGGGGCACA